GGCATTTGGATAAATAATTTCTGATAATTGCTTTAATCAGGTAATTGGGGAGAACGTGGCAAACGCATCAGCATCGAACGCGATCAAATGCGAAATGGAGTGTTCGCATTGAAATCGACACTCCAGTTCGAGAAATGTCACGCGAACCGGGACCCTTGCAAAGTCGACCTTAGACCTGACACACTTGAGTGACACATAACCTGCTGTCTATGTGATATTTAGACTATGAGCTCGAGATTTCTATCGCTCGACAACTGTGATGAGGGTGAAGCCCAAATTGACCATCACGCATAGAAATCTAGAGCAAGTAGTCCTATTGTTTTTGTGTAAAACCTCAAGATCATGGTTTTTATTTTTTATATATATATATTTTTTTTCAAGTGCACACTTTTTGCTACTCTGCTTACCTGTCACAGAATAGATAGTGAGTACTTCAGCCAATCAGATTACAGCCCTTGTGATGGAACAGTGGTAGACTAAGCTTGTCAAATTACTCTGCTTGTACATTCAACTTTTTCTGCTTTTTTTCGGGTGAAGCCTCACATTTTTCTACTATGTAATTGGCCTTTGGATATTAACTGGTTTGAGGTTAAAGTTGTGAATCAGCAGTCATGGCTTAAGGGTTTTCAGCAGGTATAGATACAGTTACATGTATGAGAGGATGCATTGCCAAGCAATTACTTTGCTATCTGACTCTGGATTGCAAGGTCTGGGTTTAGGGTGGGGAGGGTCATTTTGTCATGTTCATGGGCTAGACATGTAACTGTTTTAGAGTCTCTCTCTGCCCAGTGGTTCATATAAGGACCATGTGTCTGACAGGGGAAAGGTAGAGGCAGGGTGATTGAAGGGAGGAGATGGGGGGAGGTTAGGATAAACTGTGCTGCAGTACTACATAGCTACTTTGAGGGAGTAGCACTGTAGTATTGTACCTTATTCAACTTGTAAACTGAAAGTGGGATTAGATTTGGCAAGATATATGTGTTGACTTTTCAGTTGAATTTACCTTTTCATGGATGCATTTAATACTTATAGTGGACTTATCGCATTAAAATGGTAGTAGGAACTGCCAGAGGGACTTTCCTCCCCTGTTTAATGACCCTGGGACATGTTTGAACCCTGATACAAGAAGACATCAACATAGGGGGGCAGCCCATGCTGGGGTGGGGTCCTGGGGTGCCTGTTAAACCCCCCTCCCCCACACACGTTTGTAAGCAAACAACCTACAATATTCAGGTGACAAAAACTGGTGAAAACCCTCTATTTGACACATTGTGACCCCCTTCCTATGAAAAATCCTGTCAATGCCCCTGATGTAACCAATTGTCTGCCCTGCATGTTCAATATTTATGATAAAATCTGTTTTTAGTTAGCTTTTAATTAAAGGTTTTTGTTATCAAATATAATTTCTTTTCCCTTTTATTCAATTGAAGAGTCATTGGTAGAGAAGGATCCGGTGTTTAGCAAAGAAGATGATTACATCCTGGATCGCAGACGTGCTTATGAGAGAGGTTTACAGAAAGGATTAAGAATTGTAGAGCTAGTGAAAGAACATCAGATAACTGATCCTAACGAACAAAGCATTTTAGGAAGGTATAGATAGTGCATTTTAAACAAAGGAGAAAGTATGACATGACCATTACTGGTTTATAAAAAGCATGAACACTACTGATAAATGCTGTGGGCCACAATCACTTGATTTCTGCCGCTAACTGATGAGTACAGTCATTGTTTATGCCTAAGTGTGGGGTCCTTCTCAGTCAGCAACAAACTTAATGAGCATAATTGCAGGGGTAAACAGAAATTGTAAGTATCTTTTGGGCAAAAGGAGCGTAAAGAACTCTCAGCTGACTATAGTTACAACCTTCTTGTTTTTAGCCAAGTCAATGCTTCAGTAACAGATGGGATAAAATTCAGCTACTCCTTATTAACAGGGTAGTCACCAATTTTAAAACTTTCTGACCTGGCTGTTTAAAAGGGATCATGGAGAAGTACTATGTTTCTGATAAGATATCAATTCCACATGCACATGTAACTGAAAACTTGTGCAATTGTAATACAAAATATAAATCTGGTAAATCATGATGGGATATATATACAAAATTACAGGATATCAACTCTTTCTCTAGGAGCACACAAACCCACCTGCCACACACCTTGCATAAAGGGATGTTCATTCCTACCATAAAGGTACCTCAAATTGTTCATATTTATTGAAAAAAGCACAAACTGACTCCAAAAAAAAATTGATACCCTTCTGAATTAGTTCATAATTCTGAAACACTCTTAAACATCTCAATTTCAGAAATTTATTTTAGTCAGAAATAGATGATAATGAAAAAGGCTGACAGCTATGAAACGCAAATGTTTCATTATGTTGCAAATGGAATGACACAACGTTCTTTCTGATAGACCTTATAATTTATCTCAAATATTTTTGTAGAGCATACCTGTAATAAGAGGTACAGGAGAGTAAGCTAAGGACTGAAAGCTAGGGGGTTGGGGCAGCATGTCCTCATTCTCTGTGGAACCTGCCTCATGCTTCTCTTGTTAGTTGCTGAAAATTACAGTTATGAACAGACTGATTATATGTACATTCGTGAATATATGAAAATCATTATGTGAACTGCAGATTAAGAAATGAATATGAAAGCAATCTTTGCAGTAGTGAATGCTACTTAACTGAGCAGAAATGAAGATAAGGCCTGAAAAAATTCAGTCCTGTACAAGATTTGAACATTATTCATCACTTCACGGGTTTAATACGAAGCAAAAATATGACCAGCTTCCAGTTGGCTTGTTATGTTGTTACTTCAGTTGGAAGAGTACTACACTGGTATCACATAGGTGATGGGTCCAAATCCTATACCTGAATTTTTTCAGGCATTATTTCCACTTCTGCTGATTTTCATTACTGCAAGAAGGGTTTTATATAAATGTACTTCCTTTCTTCTGTCAATTAAGGGACAAGGAAGCGAAGAACAAAAAGCAAAATGGCTGCCTCTTGCAGAGTCCTTTCAGATAATAGGAACATATGCCCAGACTGAAATTGGCCATGGTGAGTATGAAGGTCTATGAACAAATTCTCCTTGTCAGCATCTTATGAAATGTATAGAGAACAATATGGAGAATATACATACTGATGTTAGGGTGGAAAAGGTTAGGTATTTGGCATTTAGTAATTTGATGAATTATCTTATGCATAAATTATATTTTCAGGAACTTTTGTGCGTGGCCTGGAGACAATAGCAACATATGATAAGACCACACAGGAGTTTATTATTCACTCGCCGACTCATTCAGCGTGTAAATGGTGGCCTGGAAATCGTATGTTCGAAATTATATTATATATGGATGCATTTTAAAGATTTGGTTAGAAAAGATACTTAAGTACCAGGTGATGAGGAGGAGTTGTGGGCGAGAAGGGATTGGGACAAGAGAGGGTGTTTCTCTACCTAGACGGCTGTTTTCGTTCAATCGCCAAGTCTTGAATGACCTTATGTAAAAAAAAAATTTAAAAAAAAAAAAAAAAAAAGGGAATTTGCCCCTGTAGATTCATCATTGTGGTTAAATTTATTGCTTGAACTCTTCAGTAATCTGTACTTAACGCTATACTACTTTCATTCTGAAGTATTGATTTAAATGTCAGTTTTTTGTTTGCTTTTTTTCGTCATGGTTAAATAACCCGCGTGAAAAAAGCAGAGTAATTTACTTTTGCAGATT